GAGTAAGTCCGACATAGACGCATAATAGGGCGTCCTGTCTCGCCTTCTAGCACCAGACAAGAGAGGGTACATTAATCGTGTGGCGACCGCCAACCAATTATGAAGAGCTTTTCCAATGAAAAGCAATTTCTTTTGCCTCGCAAACTTACGCCGTCAGAAAATGATTAAGCCTTTTAAACTCGGGTACGAAATGATCTCCACAGCCAAAATATACTGTGAGCTACAGGCCAACTGCCATTGTGAGCAATCTGCGCTAGACCATCAGAGAGTAACAATTGAATTGAGGATAGGGCCTGCAGGACAATCGCAGAATCCGTACAAACCACCGGCATCAACAAGGAAATGGCCGAAACCAATATAAGAAAATACGAAGTTCTGATCGGAGTAACTTAACCTGGAGGCTTGCGACCGGTGCGCTCAAGTGATACCAGCTGCCTGGGTCACTCGTGAAATGCACCTATAATTCAGTAGAATCATTGCAACAACCACGCTTTCGATTAAATTGCATACAAACGATTAGCAAGGCAAACCGTAAGTTTTGGTCCCAGGCGAGATATCCTTGAGGCGAAGTGTTTCAGGAAGTCGGCTTATCCGAGTTTTGTTCTGCTTGGTGGGAACGTCCAAGTAAACAGTTGGATTTAACGACACAGTGAAGCCCGAACTCGTAGTCTGCGGGATGTATGGCTGATAGAGCAAATGGTTAAAGACTGCGCTTCACCTTTCCGATGGGGAGTGTGAGAAGATCCACCACCCCAGCTGTGATAACTTTACGCTAGAAATTTGGCCAAATCCATCCTAGATTATGTTACAATAGTGAGTACAGCAGTCGGCCCCAACGTTGGATCAAAGTCAGCAACCCATTTATACAATTCTTGCGCTCAAAACTAACTTCCTCCGTTGATTACTTGCTTTTCCCTTAGCCCTTCTTATATATGCAGAGGGGGGTTACCGACAAAGACAAGGGAGACGAGGATGGCCATTTTGGCTTATTAGCCGTCGTCAACCAGTCATACCCAAACCCCAGTGCTGTCCCACCCGAGCCTCTAACTCGCGCCCTGGCTGATCGGAA